CGAGTTGGATCCTAAGGTGTAGCATCATCTATTTCAAGTTAGCTATAAGACTTAAAACATGTTTCTGTTAAATAGTACCAGAATGAGACATTTTACAGCACTAAAAAAAAAAAAAAAAAAAAAAAAAAAAAAAGTCGTACCTCTGTTAAGATTTAAAACGTTGCAGAAAACATGCACAGTTCTCAATACTGTTCCAAGTAGAAAAATGCATCGTCTGTCTTACAACTAATTCCACATAAAAGTCCGACTGATGACCTCAAATACTGAAGTCACAATAATCTACTTCAATATTTTTTTTAAATAACAAATATGTTCTGTTCTTCATCATTTCAATCATTAAACAAAAACAAATCCCATAAAGTCTGAGCGAAGTTAACACAGATTCAGACATGTTTACGATCACAAGTGTCAGATATAGAGTTAAAGGGAAAACTCAGTGAATACTTGGCAGCTGCTTCAGGCTCTAAGGTTCTGTTTAAGGTCAAGGTGTGGTTCACTCACTGAACACTTGGGCCTGAATCCAGGTGATTCCTCACCTGCGGGAGAGTCAGGCTCATCTGAGGTGTATACGATAGAGCAAACAGGAGTTGCTTCATTTTTGGTGTATTATTCATAGCCATGTCTCAAAATACCTGCTGCAGCAAATGTCTGGAGGGGAGTGGGGGTTTGTAACTGACATCTCTCCTTTGTTCCTTATGGATTAGTTTTCAGCTTTCAAAATAATTCTAGAAAACGCAAAAGACATATCTGTCTACATAGATAAACGTATACAGAGTTATACCATATCTATAGATAGATATCCATCTAATGTATATATAAATAAATGGATTTGTACACTGTGTTCCTTTCATCCTCATCAGCCAATCACACTCATCCCCCTTTATTCTTGACCTTTTTTTTGTCTGACGTTTACTGCCCCCTGCTGTTCATTAAGCTGTACAGTGTGATTAAATAATATCATCCCTCCCACAGTCTCGTGTCTAGCCATGCTTCATGGTTGTCATGGTAACAGCGCCAACGGGGTACACCTTTTCACTTGTGTACCAGACACGCACAGATGAGTCTGGAGGCCTTTTCACTTGTGTACCAGACACGCACATTTTAGATGAGTCTGGAGGATAAAACTCGATTCAATAGTTGAGCTGCAACTTCTATCAACAAGAAAATGTTTTTGTCCAGTTCAAAAGGCCATGGACTCAGTGGTCACAGTGGCTCTTGGTTCCATAGCTGCTCACACAGAGCTGCCACATACATGTCAGCTGTAGCGCAGGAGTAAAAACACCCGAGACTCTAAATTCACTACGTGCAACAGCGCAACTGCTGAAGCAGCAAAACGTAAAAAAAAAAAAAAAAAAGCCAAAGTTGTCCCGAATCAACAGAAGTGTCTCCGTTCAAGTTAAACAGGTCAGGGGATGAGGTAAAAGGGGAGAGAAACTCGAGTCAATTCAGTTCAAATTTCAATTATGAACTTTCTCCTACATTTCACTGGGTCACTTCCCACCACAACTCCCAAAAAGGGAAAGGTCAGCTGCCACCGTCTCACTATCTGAGGTGGGGACAAAATGTACAGACGCCATACCATACCAGTCACAGACACACATACACCGACGCACAGGACTGAAAGCGACAGGGGACGACCGACTGACGACACAAGATAACAGCGTCAAAGCCGAACCTACACTACAGTTCTACATGAAACAATAAAAACATGTACAATTAGTTCAAACCTGTGGAAAAAAAAAATAGCTTTTACATTTGAAATTTAATTTAAAAAAAATCAAGTAGAATCTCTTTCAAAGGAAACTAGATGAGGCCAGTTTTCAAACTGTATTTTTATTTCCATAATCAAATCCAAAATGAAACTAAACACTAATTTATCACAACCGTAAACACTTTAGTAGTTTTGTGTGAAGACATTACTGTCCAACTGGAAAGACAAAGACTTGTACAATAGATTTTTTCCTCTTCAATGGTTGAGACATCTGAAATTATTTAGTGATTTCTTTTTGCCTGCAACGCATGTGTTGTTTGTTTTTCAGATGTAAATATATTTGATTGTATTAAATGTTTAACACTTCTATTTAACACGCATTCTATTAGCAATGTGATACACAGCAGAGGAACAAAATGTACAAAAGCCATGCCATGACCCGGAGCCACCAACTGGTTGTTTATAGGAACAAGTGAACGGCACCATTTTTTATAGTTTAAAAAAAAACAAAAAAGCAAAATCGGAATATATTCATTTTTCCTCAGATCCTTACTTTTTGTTAACTTGTCAAGTGTGACATTATTGCATCATAGTTTGCAAAGCAACTGAAGATCTGTGTTTTATGGGCCAAAGAGTTTAAGTCTTAAAGGTGGAGAACATTCAGCAGCTGATTTGCAATTGAAAGCAGACAATGACAAAAATCTGTCCAGGAATTAATCTAAACTCTAAATAATATAAATATATGAAAAATCTTCAATACATTTCAACACCTTAAATCCTTGCACCCAAGAACAAAATGTACTAAAGGAGAGACGGGATTGAGCCACCCACTGGCAGTTTACATGAACTGCATGCGAACAATAACACTAAAAGTTATTATTTCAAGACAAATAAATCAAAGAACAGCAAATTTTACACCATAACGTATCAAATATTGAACATACATATGTTTTAAATGCTGTGCAACATTCGGGTTTCGACACATTTGTTTAATATAAGGATACATTTGTTTAAACAAGAGATTAAACTAGAACCATATCTCCTCAGGATATTATACTTTAAATACTTACGTTTCAATGACGTTAGGGGTGTTTTTTGAGCGTAATTATAGCAAACAAGATTCAGCTGGGACTGAATGTTCTCTGTGGAAAGTTTCCAAGGAACAGACCTTGCTTTTGTTGCATTTCCTACATTCGCTTGTTGATAATAATTTGTTAATTAATGCTTTTCTTGAAATACATTAAATGCTCGAACAAATGTTTGTTTGATAAAATTAAAAACTTTTCGCAGTTTTTCAATTTCAATGGTTAATGTTTTTAATGTCTTCGTGTTATAACCTACTTATTGTATTGTTTACTTTGTTCTTTTTCCCCCCTCCTACTCGTTTACCCTTATTTCCCACAATTGAGCTTAAATAAAACAAAACTACATCACAATTAGACGAATAAATAGAACTTTTACTTAAACATAAAGAGAATGTTAAATGACATGCATGCGTTAAACAAGGTAAACCTGTAAAGTCCTGTGAAACAAAGTGCTGCTTTCGTGGGTGTGTTCGCTCACCTGCAGGAACAGCTGTGGTTCGGCTCGGCTCGGGTTCTGGTCCTGGACCCGGTGTGAGTAAAGTGAAGCAGTGCAGCAGCTGCAGCTGTGGTTTGGTCTTTATATTCTTTCCGGTCCATACCGTCCACCGTATGTGGTGTACGTTGAGAGGGGGGAGGGGCCACAGGCTGCATGTCCGTCTACATGTGAAGAACATGGAAACGAAATGAAACCCCCCCACATTCTTTACCATGAATGAACTCGTCCACGTTTGTCCACAATGTGCTGCTATATATATATTTCGAAGGTTGACTTCAGAGTCGTAACCTGGTGTGTGAATTATCATTAAACACGACATTACCGAAGTAGTTAAATTTCACTATTTTTGTCAACAGTAAACTTAGTTTATTTATGTTTATACCGATGTTCAACCCTAAGAAAGGGGTTTTGCTCAATTTCATTTATTTATTTTTTTAATTTTATGCTTAGCTAACTTGGCATTTTTTCATTTCAATGACATAAAGTCAGTTTTTTAGATGCTATTTCTGTCATTTTGCTATATATTTTTTTATCATGTTTAATCATTTGGTGTTGTGTGTCTGAGTGTTAACTAATTAAAACGTTTCTTTGGTCCAGGGAGGATTCCTTTGTTGTGCAGTCAAACCCATCAGTTTCTCTGCACCAACAAACACTGTGTTTGCATATGAAGGCAGGGGGCATCACAGGAGACACCTGCTTTCTCCAGGTGTCAAGAGTTGTCACCAGGTGATTGGATCACTCAGATGAGATTGGTATCACATGTAGACAAAGCAGAGTAACCTGTAAAAATGTGAATTGTCACTAAAATAACGTAGATTCTGATGATAGGAAATTTGATGAACCGAGTTCCCATCATGTAAAATCACTGATTTTCAGAGACAGATTGATTTAGAAAGCATATTTTTTCCAGATAGAAAAGAACTAAAATCACGTCAGATATTCAATTTCAAATACCATGTTATATCATTGCGTTATCCAGTTATTTGTAATTAAATGATAGTTCTATTCCTCATCGTTATTATGACAACTGTCAGCCTAATAAATTCATGCTCTGCATTTTGTTCTCTAAGGTGTGACACTACCATCTACTGGTGCTAAACTGCAATTACATCAACAGTGTTCAAAAGTAGGGAAGTTGATTGTAGGTTTGTTATTCTAATTTTTATTATTCTAAAGGGTGGAGGTAGAAAAGGACGTGTTGTTAGTACTGCAATTTACTGATAATCTGTAAATAAATAAAAGAATAATAATAGTAAAAGAATAATTAAACTCTTCTTGAGGAAACAGGTCAGGATGGATTTATATAAAAATAATCAGATGTTTTGGTTATATAAATACATTTAGTTTTATAATTGACTTATTATTAAATTACAATGTTCAATAAAACTGCAAAAGAAAAATAATAAAAAACTGTTATGGTAGTCCATTTTCTGTTTTGGTTTTCGTATGTTGATGCTATTTTTGACAAAACCCTCAACAATTTATGCGGGTTTGGAACCAGCTCTAAGTGGATAAGGATTGTGCCCTCTACTGGCTGAGTAAGTATATCTTGTGCCCCTGAGTTCTAAAATTCACGATTTTCTCTATTGTGTTTTGTACAAATACAAACCTCAGACAAAATTATTTGTGTTTTTATTTGTGTTTTTTTCCTAAGCATTTTTGCGAGTCACAGTCTACTTGAAACTGATTTGTATCGCAACTAGCCAGCAGGGGGTGCGCACAGCTCTGGCAGCCAAATATGTACGGTATCTGTATAAATACAGTACAACAGAAAAACACCATTTAGAAAATTAATTATCAATTCACCCGTTTCAGATTCAGATAAACTATAATTACAGAAGCTCAACATAAACTCCCGGAAGGCGGTGATTGTATTGTGTAGTGTCACGTGATCAATACGTTCTCATCAGGACCGGTTAAAACCGACGGAAACAGCGCAGGTTCGGGGTCTGTGAATCTACCCGTGAGAATCGAACGCAGAGCCGTGCAATGACCACTCTTCGTCTGCTGAGAGGTCGCGGTTTTCTTCGGCTCGTCCTCTCTGACTCCTCGGCTGCAGCTGGAGCCATGCTGCGCACAACTAGCAGCAGGAACTACAGCCTGGACGTCGCCGATCCGCTGCTGCGGACCCAGGGCTACGTGAACGGCCGATGGGTCTCCGCAGCCTCCGTATTCCCCGTCCTGGACCCGGCCACCGGACAAGAGATCGCCCGGGTGACGGACTGTGGCCCGACTGAAGCTAAACAGGCGGTGGACGCAGCGTACACGGCGCTTCATTCGTGGAAGCAGTACACGGCCAAAGTACAACATTTTAAACCGAACTGAATATTAATTCTGCGAGAAGATATCACAAATACGATATTGATACTATCTCAACAAATACCATGTCGATATAAATTCGACAAGCATGGGGTTCGTAAAAAAAACGTGTAAATATATATCAAATGTTCCTTCAGATAAATTACAAAACCGACCAAACGGAACCTTATTGTTCGACTTAAACCCTTTTTAACATGTATTTGGCTCAAAGCCAGGTGACGTTTAACGTGTGTGCTGGAACTGGTGGTTTGTAAACAAGTAACTACTGAAAACTGGCATGGACAAACTAAGGTCCGTTTAGCTTTTTAATCCAGCCCGCCAAACTTTTTTTCAAATTATATAATTTATATGTATTATCATTATACTTCTGCCTTTTCCCTGCAATAACCACGAAAAGCATTTTAGCCTTTATGCACGACTTTTACATGTCATTTATCTTAGTTCTCACCAACGCTCCCCTGTTCAATTTTAGGACAATTGTGGCGCGAGTCAAAACCTTTACCCCCCTGTTCAATTTTGGGACAATTGTGGCGCGAGTCAAAACGTTTGCCAACACAAACGCCATGTTTTATATATCAACCAACCAACTACACGTTACTTCAACATGAAAAGGAGTAAAGCTCAGTCAAACTCTTTAAAGAATTTTGTTTTTGTCTTTCTCAGCCTCACCTTTCTTTCTTTTCTTTTTTTCCTGCAGGAGAGGAGCCACCTGCTGAGGAAGTGGTTCGACCTCATGATGTTGCACAAAGATGATCTGGCCAAACTGATTACCTTTGAATCTGTAAGTGTCAGTTGGACAAACGGACAGGTCCTTATGTTATTTTCTGGAAACTGAAACCTGTGTCACTTTATCGTCCAAACAGGAAGTGGTTGTTTGTTTGTTTGGTTTGGTTTTAGCACTCAAAAGTATTATGGCATATTATCAAAAGAGAAAAAAAAAATAAGATCAAAGACCAGCATTTCAACTCATTTACTTCAGTCTTAGTGGTTCTCAATTATTTTGAAAGTGTGAGTTGCTGCCACCTAGTGTCTGGAGGCTTGTTATCATTCAAGCTTTACAGCAGTGGTAGATTGGAAGCCTCTCATGCCCCCTCTTCCCCCCTCCCCCCACCTCACCTTGCCACCCCCAGGGGGTTCTGCCCCACTATTTGAGAAGTACTGAGTTAACCTCAAACTGACGATGTCAGCTGTCATTCTTTTTCAGGGTAAACCCATGCGCGAGTCTCTCGGGGAGATTGGGTACTCGGCCTCCTTCCTGGAGTGGTTTTCAGAGGAGGCTCGCAGAGTGTATGGTGACATCGTCCCATCTCCTTTCAGGGACAGAAAGATCCTCCTCCTCAAACAGCCTGTGGGCGTCTGCTCTATCATCACTCCGGTCAGTATGGAATGTCTTTATAGTCTTTCCGGAAGGATTTTTTTTTAAATATTTTTTTCATTTCATGTTGTTATTGGTTTTTGTTTTTTTTTTTAAGTGGAACTTTCCTAGTGCCATGATCACCAGGAAGGTGGGAGCAGCTCTGGCTGCTGGCTGCACTGTGGTCATTAAACCAGCAGAGGACACACCGCTGTCAGCGCTGGCTCTGGCTGAGGTCAGCGTCAACGCATTATCATGAATTTATTGTAAGAGGTCAACAACAACAACAACCGAAAAGATTCAGATTTTGTGTCTGGTTTTTGTGTTCACAGTTAGCGGAGCAGGCAGGTATCCCTGCAGGAGTTTTAAACGTGGTTCCGTGCTCCAGAGAGAAGACTCCGTCTGTTGGAAAGGTCCTGTGCACTGACCCCCTAGTGGCCAAAATTTCCTTCACAGGCTCCACTGCCACCGGGAAGGTAAATCCTGGCGTCTGTGTCTGTCTGTTGGAGTTCGGTTTATTAAAGAGAAAACTGCATTTTTTTTGTTTTTTAAGGAGTTCGGTTTATTAAAGAGAAAACTGGAGGGTTTTTTTGTTTTTTTTTTACAGCTTTTATTAAAAATGGCCGCCGACACTGTGAAAAGGACGTCTATGGAGTTGGGCGGCCACGCGCCTTTCATCGTGTTCAACAGTGCTGATGTCGACAAAGCAGTGCACGGAGCCATGGGGTCCAAGTTCAGGAACTCTGGACAGGTGATGTCAGCTGATGTGGCTGTCTGTGTAGTTAACAAAGTGTTGGCAGAAAAGGTAAATCTTTTTTTTTTTTTTCCCACCTTTTCTCCCGGGCAGACTTGTGTGTGCTCAAACCGGTTTCTAGTTCAGGATGGTATCTACAGTCGCTTCATGGAGAAACTAGGAAAAGCCATGGATGCTGAGCTGCGACTGGGTCACGGCTCTGAGCCTGACACCACCCAGGGGCCACTCATCAACATCAAAGCTGCAGAAAAGGTAGGAACCACGACAGAAATGTTATGATACTGCGGTTCCAGACTTCAAAAGTCTTAAATTTTAGATTCCTGGGACAAGTCAGACGAACAATCTGTTAACGCAGAGGTGCCAGAGGGTCTTCCAATGGAATATGGCACGTTGGACATAAGTGTACCACTGCTGTAATGCTTGAATGATAATAAGCCTCCAGCCACTAGGTGGCAGCAACACATACAGTGGTTTGTACAGATAAAAATATTCACATTATCAGGTTCTCAATAGTATTTCAATTCGCACGGGGTGAGGGTCGGGGAGTGGGGGCAGGCGTGAAAACATTGCTGACGTAAAATAATTGAGAACCACTGTGTTAACTGAACAGACGTTCTCTTCTTCAGGTGGTCCACCAAATATCTGACGCTGTGTCCCGGGGGGCAAATATTATCAAGGGTGGCAATCGTCTGGAAGGATCCTTCATGGAGCCCACTTTGCTGGCAGACGTCACCACGGACATGTTGTGTACACAAGAGGAAACCTTTGGACCCCTTATACCTGTCATCAGGTCAGAATGGGGTTTGTTTTGTTTGAAGTGTTACAGAACATTTGAAAGTTAAGTTATTCAATTCAATTCCTCTGTTCATGTTCCAGGTTTCACACAGAAGAAGAAGCTGTGTCCATCGCTAATGCGTCTAACGTGGGACTAGCAGGTGAAAGATGGAAGTCTGTGTGTGCTTGACAAAAGAATGACTGTAGGTTTAAGCATTAGCATAAATAGACGGCTAATGTGTACTTAAAAGTTAGCCAGTAAGTGGTAACCGTTTAGAAAAAATGTAGCAAGAATAGAACCAGCTTTGCCAAGAATATTTAAAAGTCTGCTAACATTCGTCCAAAAAAGCTAACAATAAATAAATTATTAGGAATAAAAGATTTACAAGGTAGCTAAAACCCAGCTGCAAAATAGCTTAAAAATAGTCAAACGTTTGCTAAAAAAAACATTTCGGTTTTTAGTCAAACGTTTGCTAAAAAAAACATTTTACTAAAGAAAAACATACGGTATTTTCCGGACTATAAGTCGCACTTTTTTTCATCCTTTGGCTGGGTTTGCGACTTCCACATGTTCATTATTTTCACACTATCATCCACTAGAGGGCACTCTATGCTCGTGTACCAGTATCTGCTACTCCTGTACCACTGAAAATGTACATGTTTGTTATTTTCACGTTGACAGCCACTAGAGGGCACTCTAGTTGGCTGGTGCGACTTGTACTCCGGAAAATACAGTAATTAAACAGTTTCCCAAGATGGAGAACAGAAAAAAAAAACTACTTTATACTTCAAAATTCTACCCTGAGGATTTCCTGTTCCCAACAGCTATAGCCTGCAGTCTGTAGCCACGTTTACTTCTGTCATCTTCAGGTTACTTCTTCTCCGAGGACCCGTCTCAGATCTGGCGCGTGGCCGAGGCGCTGGAGGTCGGTATTGTCGGAGTGAATGAGGGCCTTACGTCCACGGTCGAGGCCTCCTTTGGTGGAGTAAAAGAGTCTGGTCTGGGCAACGAGGGGTCCAAGTACGGTATCAACGAGTACCTGGAACTCAAGTACATGTGTTTCGGAGGCCTGAAACCCTAGGAGCGACGAGGCAGAGTGGCACCCCCTACAGTCCTTATGGGGTATTCCAAACACAATAGAGGTGGGGGGAAAAAAAAACAAGAAACGCCTGCCCTAGATGCTCAGACGGTAAGGCATCACAGCAAAAATCCACAAAATTTTAAATAATTTATTTCAACATTCCAAATTAGGATTGCACATTTTCAAATCGTCTCAGCCTTCCTAGCATTCTAACATGCTTAAAGGTCATGACCTCTGAAGTGGGATATGCTGTTGTAGATTTCAAACTGTGTCAAACTCCTAACTTGAATCAGGTCATGACCTCTGAAGTGGGATATGCAGTTGTAGATTTCAAACTCCTACCTTGAATGTGGACTGAGGAGAAACTAAATATATCTGACTACATTTCCAGATGAAATAAAAGCACTTTTGTTTTTGTTTTTGTTCGAAATAACAATGTGTATGTGGCGTTATAGACTATTTTTTTTTTAAATAGAATAACTGAGATGGTCAAGTTGTTGGTTAGCGTAAATGTGTTTTGTTTGGGGTTTTTTTTACTTTGAAGAACAAAGTGACAGTGGTCAGATATGCTGGGATGTAGGGTTGAGAGGCTGGCTGGAGGTGACAGGATTTTCACGAGGAGTGACCAGGATGAACAGGATTTGATCAAGCAGATTAAAGGAACAGCAGTTTTCTGCTAAAACTACAGACGTAAGGTAGAGGTGATGGAGATATTGGACAGAGAATATTGGAGATGGAGCCTAAAAATAATGCATGAATAGCAAGAGATAGACTGAGATGGAGGCAGACGATCTGCTGTAGAAGTGCTGTGATTTTTTTAAATTTATTTAACAGGGTAGAATGAGCTGCACTGCATGGCGGTTTGATATCAGAGTTATATCATAATCGTCATAATACAGTGGTACCTCGAGATACGAGCGCCTCGCAAGATTTTCCTCGGGGGAAGTATCCAGATTACAATTGTAATCTGGATACTTGATTTGGTACGAATGCTATATGTAGGACTTAAATCACAGATAAGAAAATAAAATAATATTTTTCTTTCTTCAGGGTGTTTTTTGCCAGGAAGTAGAGTAGAAAAACATGCCTTTTGTTCTTGTGCTGAACCTGCTCCAGTGTTAACATTTGTATTTTCTCTTTGTTGTCAAATATTTTGTAGCAGAGACTAATGGTGGTTTTGTCATGTTTGAAATTAATTGTAAATTTAAAATGTCGCAATTACATGTTGTAATAAAAACAAATGTCAGCACAGATGGTGCCGTGTGTCTTTGTTGAAATAAACCATTTTTTTAAAATATTCTTGATAGCAAACTCTGTAATGTGATGGTAAAAAAAAGTTGTACTAAAGGCTCTACAAGGAACTTAAAGGAAGCAAATGAAAAAGTAATTAAGACTTAATCCAATGTTAGGCCAGAAATTAGTCAAAGTCACAATGCACTCTACAAAGGCCACGATAACTGAATTTAGCTCAGAAATACTTAAATACTGAAAATGACTAAACTAAATCAAACTTATCTTAATGCTGGTTTAAAACCACGTTCCATTTAATCTTTTTTTTACAATTTTTTTCAACAGCTAAACTTGTAAACAAGACGACAGGATGGTTTAATCGGACTCGTGAGAAAAGAATAAATTAGATCAGGATAAAATATAAATAAATATCAATCAGAAAATGTGACTTTTCTACCTCATCGTTAATCCCGTCCAGGACCTTCTCTTTTGTGAAAGATACAAAGAATGTTTTGGTCTCTTGTGTTCATCTGACCTTTGTTCCCTTCATGACATCATCACTGTGGTCAGACAGACAAAGATGGCAGAGATGTTGATCCTCCAGATTTTCAGGAAGCCTCATCTCGTCCTGCAGTTGTGCAAATATTCCGGAAAGATCCTGAGTCTTAGTCACTAGGATGCGAACGACCCCCCCGCCTCCTCATCCGAAGGCATTTCCGTTGCGATTAGCCTGAGCACCGATCCGGTTCCTACTGCGGACTGGTCGGTCCCGGCTGAAAATGGTGTCCTGGTCACTGTCCAGCTCCGACTCTGACATCATCAGGCTGGAGTTGTGCTCCGTGCTCCGGTGTTTGATGCCTTTGTTTTGACAGTAAAAAAATGAAAATACAACGAATAACCAACGGAGACAACAGAAAAAAGATTTGAACACCACAGTACTTTAAAAAAAAGACAGAATTCTAAAAAATTCTAAAGAAAATTCTAGAATAACAACCATGCCATTAATATTATATTTCTTAAGAAAATGACAATTTTATACAATTCTTGGATCAATAATATAATTGCTAAGATTGAACAGGGGGGGGGGGCGGGTCAGGAGCAGATAGATGGAGCGTTACTGTGAACTAAGATAAATGACATGTAAAAGTCATGCATAAAGACTAAAATGCTTTTAGCCTTCTCAACGCCATCTATCGGTAAAACATGGGTATTGCAGGGTAAAAGCAGAAGTATAATGTAAATATAAACAAAAGTCATGCATAAAGACTAAAATGTTTTTAGCCTTCTCAATGCCATCTATAGGTAAAACATGGGTATTACAGGGAAAAAGAAGTATAATGAAAATATAAACACATTATATAATTTAGAAAAGTTTGGCAGGCCGGTTTAAAAAGCAAAACGGGCCACATCAGGCCCACGGGCCTTAGTTTGCTTATGCCTGAATTAGATAAAGAGGCATGTCTGTGTTTTTGTGAGAGTGTGATTCAGAATTGTACTTTTCTTCAAACATTAATCTTGGAAATTTCAATGAAACGGGAAATTCCAACAATGATGCCGGAATCCTGTGAGGATATAATCTGAGATTATGGTCAGATATTTTTGACTTACTGAATTTGGGGCGGAGCTCCACTCTCTCCTGCTCATCCATGTTGTCAAGGATAGTGTATTTGGTTTTCTTCCTCACTTTGCTCTGTCTCCTACAGGACAAGCAGACAGCAGAGGTCAGTGTCTCATTGCCTTTTAAAAATCCATTGAGTTTAGTATCAGTACACATACATATTGAAATAAATAAACACACAAAACTGCTAATGTAAAGAGTGACGTCACCTCCTGCAGCAGATAAAGGTCCAGCTGATGGACAGGATGAGCACCATCATCAGGAAGCTGCTCAGGATGACGTACAGAACTCTCCACTCTGACGGGAAACGACATACGTTTTAGTCACTGATTTGAGCTCACAGGAGGCTAACAGGTTAGCTCAGGCGTGGGCAAACGTTTTGAGTCGCGGGCCACAATGGGTCCTAAAATTTGACGGCGGGCCGGGTCAAGAACAGATAGATGGAGTGTTCGTATGAACTAAAACAAATGACATGTAAAAGTCATAAAGGCTAAAATGCTAAAATGCTTTTAGCCTTTTCTACACCATCTATTGGAGAAATGAGGGCATTGCAGGGAAAAGGCAGACGTATAACGATAATAGAAATTAATAACATAATTTGAACAAGATGGCGGGCCGGATTAAAATTTTCGTTGCTTCTTATATTTACCACAGTTGCTCTCTCCATCACCCAGGTATCGGCGAACCAAATTCTCCGTCCAAAAGGGGTCGCAACTGCAGGTCTTAGTAACCGGATCACACTGACCCTGACCAGAACAGCAAATTAATCATGCTGGGAGGGTGAAAAGGGGTGAAAAAAAAATGTATTTCCTTTATTTCCACATTTAAACAAAAGGAAAAAACAACATTGAGTTTTGAATGTGCCTCACAGACTGTGTCCACTCTCAGAACTCTGAAGAGCAGGAAGTCATTCTTGTCAGTGAGAAGCTGTTTCCTCAGGAGATGAACTAGAGCTGAGGCAGAGAGGGAAGTCTGGGAGGAGTCAGTCACCACGAACCGCAGCACCGTACTGCGGGGAAAACAGACGGTAAAATGATGAGAATATCAATCAGTAAACGGTCAGGAAACCAATCAATAGACGGTCAGGAACGTTTACCTCAGATGGGCGTGTCCCTCCAAAGCTCTGACGTGGATGTCGGTGTCCACGACGTGCAGCAGCGCGGCCAACTGTCTGATGACCGTTTCCTTCTGAGACAAACTGACCTGAGACACGGCGACCATCAACTCCAGCTCCACCTGCTGGTCTTCGCCAGGTTCTGCTGGGACAAAGCAACGAAACACTCAGGACAGGACACAGACACAGAGACAGAGACGGACAATGTGGTTCCATCTCACCAGGGCGGACCTCCACCGTAGCGGTAGAGAAGCTGGAGCGACCCTGAGCGTCTGTCACTCTGAGGTGGAACAGGTACGTTCCCTCCACCAGATTACACAGGTACAGGGAAGCCTGAGTCTCGGAGCCGTACAGAACGTCCTGCAGAAGGACAGACGTCACCACAAAACTAACGTCATATTTGAACCTCCTGTCAGTCATTCCTGTCAGTACTGACCCCGGCAGCAGGACTCTGGCTGTCTCTGACCCACAGAAACTGGACTTTGCTCTGGTCTCCGTCAGTGACGGATCCTCTCAGAATGATGGCGTTGTCTGGAAGTGTTAGCGTGTGGCTGCCGCTAGCATGAGCAACAGGGCGAGGGGTAACCGCTGCAGGCAGATACAGTCCGATTGAAGACATCCAAATATTGATATGATTTTGTTCAAACCCATCCTTTACCTTCCTGAACCCTGACGGTCAGTGAGGCGTTGTCTTTCGCCCCCTGCTGGTCAGAGACGGTCAATCTAAAGGTGTAACGTCCAACTTTCAGACCAGTGGCTTTAGCTACAGCCTGGTCTGCTCCCTCCATCTTCAACCCTGGAGGCCCACTATGGAAAAAAAAAAACCCAGATGAGTTTTTTAACGGTTTAAAACAGACTTTTACAAACATTGTTTACTACTCTGATAAACCACCTGATGGTGTCCCAGTGGTAGCTAATGATGCCTTGGACAGATGTGCTTTCTGTGCCGTTGAGCAGTAAACTGGTCAGAGGAAGAACCAACTTCCTGTCCGGACCTACAATTGCCACTGGACCATGGCTCGAAGCTCCACCCAATGGCACTGAAAAAAAAAAAAATATATATATATATATCAGGGTTTTTTTCTTACAAAATAATGTTTAAAAACAGGAAACTAATAATCCTGTACATTAAACTGATCTAATATAATCTAATCTAATCCAACCCAATCTAATATAATTTTATCTAATCTAATTTAACCCAATATGATCTAATCTAATCCAATCTAATCTAACGCGATCTAATATAATATAATCTAATCTAATCCAATCTCATCAACCCAATCTAATTGAATCTAATCTAATCCAATCTAATTTAATCAAATCTAACTAATCTAACCCAATCTAATCTAATATAAAGCAATTTTATCTAATCCAACCCAATATATTTTAATCTAATCTAATCTAACCCAACCTAAACTAATCTAATCTAATCTAATCCAAGCCAATCTAATTTAATCTAATCCAATCTAATCTAACCCAGTCTAATTTAATCTAATCCAATCTAATCTAATCTAAGTCAATCTAATTTAATCCAATCTAATCTAATATAACCCGACCTAATCTAATCTATTATAATCTAATCTAATCCAACCCAATCTAATCTAATCTAACCCAACCTAAACTAATCTAATCTAATCTAATCCAAGCCAATCTAATTTAATCTAATCCAATCTAATCTAATCTAAGTCAATCTAATTTAATCTAATCTAATCTAATCTAACCCAGTCTAATTTAATCTAATCCAATCCAATCTAATCTAATGTCAGTAGGATATATGACTTAGTGTCACAGTGAACTAGTCAAATGTTAACTTCTTCTCAAACCAGTCAGTAAAATATCAACAGGGAATTACAGTCCTGTCAGGTAAACTAACTGAACATAATGTTCTGTAACCTAACCTAATCCCTTGTTTAAAAATATTGCTAATCCATGTTTAATCAGTCGACACTCTCTGAGATGGACTTTGTTTTTTGCTTGCTGTTCAACTGGCGACACAACAAGCACAGGCGGCAGCAGCAGCAGCAGCAGCAGCAGCAGCAGCAGCAGCAGTGGGCGGGGCTGTAGTTAAAGGGGTGGAGGTGGGGGCGGCCGTGACAGTGTTGGGATTAGAGGTGATGGTTTGTGTGGCTGTAGTTGCCGTCAGGAGAGGCGTCATCATATCTGAGGATGGGAACACAGACACAACAGGAAACAGTTGATAAAAGGTCAGTCTGTGTGTGTGTGTGTGAGTGTGTGTGTGTGTGTGCACTGGTGGTTGACGTACCAGTTGTGACTCCAGCTTTCATTTTTAATGCAGTTTCTTCTGGTGAGATGACGGACGGCCCTGCAATAAAAAAAAAAGAAAAGAGATGCAGAGAAAAGCAGATTTTTGCTTTGAGATACGAGCATCAGGAATCCTTATATACTACAAATATTTTTGTGTTTTTTCCCATTGTTATTAGCACTAATAATTTGATTTTTTTTTTTGGAACGAGAGGAATCTGTTTTCGTATTTTTTAAATTGGTTATTTAAGATCACACAAAAACAAATACCTTCACTTGTGGGTAGCTGTGTGCTGCTGCTGCTGCTGCTGCTGCTGTGATGGCTACTTAATGAAGAAGCCATGGTCACTGCTGTAGTAGTCCAAGTCCCTTGATCGTCCTGGCGGTGGGACTCGGTGGTTGTCTGTGATTTACCAGTGGACTTGAGATCAGATGAAGACGAGGTTCCGTCCTTGTCTTTCCAAGTCGACGCCGTGCTGTTGAACACTGACACAGTTCTAGTCTGTTCCATGTCCTGCTCCGGATCTTCCTCTGTGTTTGAACGGTTGAAGTGGTCTCTCTCTTTTACAGAGAGTTGATCAGTGTTTACTTTTCTTTCCGACGGGAGGTTTTCCTGGCTTTCTCCTGTATAATCTATGTTCCCCGGGTTAGAGAGGTCCTGCTGAGGCTCGTCAAAGAGACCCAGGTTTTTTAGATCCTCTAGATCCTCAGGATCCTCCGACGAGCGTGACCGTGACCTCCAGTGGCTGCCATACGGCTCCCCGCGAACCAGAGATTGTAGCAAAAACTTTTGCGGTGACCCCCTATGCAGGAATGCTAAAAAGGAATCTGCTCCTGGTCTCTCTTGGGGCTGGCAGTTCTCCACCGGCTGGCAGCTCAGAATAAAGCAATGGCCCTCAAACAGCCAGGCCAGATCGTAGCCTGGCAGGTCGCAGCACGCCGCCACGCACTGCGGCAGTGTTGACACACCAGGAACACGCAGTATTCCGCTGCTTCCCATTGTCGGGGAAACCACTGCCTCGGAGAAGGTCGCCCCCTGCCAGCACTGAGCTGCTGCTACGACTGCAAAATAAAACACAGAGAGTTGTGATGGTGGTGTTCCCTCTCAAATGATGAGATGTAACACTGTGTTAGTCAACCAGGGTTTTAAAGTAATCTCTAAGGTATATCTTAACAAAGGCACTGTCACAAAATAGGAAAATTTAGAGATAAAAAAGTGTTCGAATCACAGCTTTTTTTTTTCTTTTCCGTTCACTTTTGAAGTTATTTTATGCAGCCACAAATATTTATCTCAACCTTTAATATTTAACACATAGTAGTGACAATAACATTTACACTTTAGGATGAAAAAATAATTTGTATATAACTTAAAAATAATATTTATTACAATAGATATTTTAAATCACTGCCCAGCACAGCGCAGCAGAGATTCCTTATATATATTTTATAGTTGTTGTGTACCTTCAACACTGAGCAGCGTCAGAATGATTTTCATCCACATGATGAATACGACTCTGGATTGAAGGGAGAAAGACACGTTACTACATTCTTTACTTGAGACGTAATGTTTTTACTTTCTCCTTAAATATCGGCGAGAGTTAGTTCGAGAAATACGTTTTACAAATTTAGAGAGACTAAAACATCTAAAACACAGTCACAATACACACAAATGATGATGAAAGACTAAAAACATTGTTATTCCTTATTATTACTATTTATATTCATTATTGTTATCGTTATTATCCAAAGGTTAGTGGAAAACTCGGGTTTTCGATGGTAAATAATGTGCAATTCAGCACCACGTTTCCGGACAGCGCCACCTCAACAGCCCCGCCCCGCCGCAGGAAACACCGCTGCTGCCCGGTGTAGGGGTTTAAACGCACCATCATCCCTGCGACACTGACGCAGGGATCCAGTTTTAACAACAATATTCCCGTCAAAATGGTTCATACGAAGGAAAACCGTTGGCGCTGTAGTCATTACCACTGGAACAGCCGTCGTTAGCCCTCGAAGACTCATCACTCCATTGAGGTTTTAGTCAATTTAAGGTGAAAGGAGAGGCAATGGCCACGTTTGATTCTGAATAAAAACGTAACCCTTATAAGTTCGCCATAAATACATTACACGTCAAACCGCTAGGTTTTAATATATTTTGTGTTTTGCTGAGTTCACCTCTGATTACCATGACGAGGTAAGCTACTTTTGAAGTTTAATGTGTACAATTAAAAAAAAAAAAAAGAGTTCGGCCAGACAGGTGCAGGCTAACGGGTGCGCACCAAGATGCCTGTGTATCATCCCGGAAATAAGAGCACAAGCTTGGGTTTATTTAGGACAAAAATTGGATATAAATGATACCGTAACACATTTGCGTTAAAATCCCGAGTGTGACTCACCTGTTGGCGGTGGTGGTCCTCGTCTGACGTTGTTTTTGTCCGGTTTTGGGCCTGGGAGTCACATAGTGAGCCGGGAATGGGCGGAGTTGCAGGGTGTAATTGGCCCACGCTGATACCGAACGCTTACGGAAAAGCACGAGTCAACGAGAATCACATACCGAACATCCGGTTGTATATTTCAAAATAAAACAATATAAATATTTAATTAGTTAATTGTGAAATGAAGTTTAACATATTTAAATACGCATTAAAATTAATCGCTATATTTTAAAAAGAAAATGATTCAGCTGAAAATACTATAATGTAATTACGTTCCCTATCAAACATTATATTTCAGCCCAGGAAGGGCCCAAGAGTAAACACTGTTATAGAAAGAAATATCATCGAACAGTTTCAGTTACTGTACCTAGATTAGAGGAAATAATAAAGATGAGAAAAACATACATAAGAGTACCATAAAAACAAATACAATAAATATGCTTCAAAGATAATACATACATTATTACAACTATACTTTTAACATACTAATGACAGCAAGTGCATGTTTTAGGCTCATCACCTTGTTTTATTAAAAAAAAAACATTTACAATTCAAATAGCAACCATTTATAAATTACAACAGCAAACACACAACTCTTTTAAATAGAATTTTTTCTCTTTTCTCTTCAGTTCATTGCCGACAGTTGCCGTTTAAACAATAAAACCAAGTCGTGTCAAACTCCCAGATATCAAACACAGTTAGTTTTCCTCTGCTACACTAAAGGAAGACTTCAGGTTTTTTTTTTTTTTAAGAAAAAAAGATTATTTGCCATATTCAATTTAAAGTGCAAATTATGCCTGCAAATATGTCAAATCTCAAAAACATATTTCCTGCTTCATTCAGCTGCTGTGTATTTGGCTCTATAGAAGGAAATAACAGACGTTTGTAGAGCTGCAAAAAAATAAGAAAAAAAAAACCTGAACTGTTCCTTTTACACAGAGTTTCTGTGACTTTTCACATTTGCGGCAGTGAGACAAAAAAAATGTTCCATTTGTGTTTAAAATAAAACTTTTTCACTCTTGAGTTACAACTACTACATTAAATCTGTTTCCGGGTAAATTTGACATCTTTAAGGACTGATGGGAAGCAACAGGAATCAAACCAATGACCTTTGTTTTGTTTTGTTTTCAACATTATACGCATTTTCTTCTCTACAGTGCAACGCCTTCAGAATTCTGATACCGCACAGTTTTAAAAAAAAAGGAAGGAAAGTTTTGATCTAAACTGGTGGCTGAAGTCCACCTTGCTGCAGTGATGACATCATCAGGTTTGCTGACCAAAAGCTAAGGCAGGATTATGTACAAGTAACAATAGAAAATGTCTCTGAAATCTGGGTGTCATCTGTCCTTTTTTTTTTTGTCCAGCTCTCACTTAAACGTGCCATAAAACAGCACCAAACATTTAAGAGTGTATACGCAGCAGACAGTGAAAACAATCCCTTACACTTTCTTTCCCACTTTTTTTTGCCTCTTTAAATCACACCATCAAGAGATAAAAAATAAACAAAGTAAACAATTCGATGAAATTACAACGTTTTGCTCAGTCTTGCAGCCAAAAACATCCGATAATGAAGCAAGGCGCAGGGGCCACGTTGCTCGTCTATAATGCTGTTATAAATACTGTTATCTACATCTTGTTACTGTACAGACTTTACACTATGAGACAAGGCAGCAGCTGGCGCAACAATGTCACTGAGTTTAAGCTCCTCCCGTTCCACCAACGTCACACCACACGGTTGATATTCCAGACCAGTTGGTAACATGATCGCGGCACCTTTGCTTCAAGAAACAAACGACCAACGATTCTTCCTTTCCATTCGACCTCGTGATCATCAACACAGCTGCCTTCATCTCCTCCTTCACTGAAGTATAGCAACGCACACCGACAATGGACGTGTCTGAGAGTCTACTCCACTCTATGATCCTGCAAGCTGGAATTCTAGTTTCACATACATGTTATCATCATCGGAACCAAAAAGAACGAGCACTTAGGTTAGGTGGAAATCTGTTATTCTGGTGAAAAGACTGGGGCCAAATCGCGATGTTTAAGAAAAGTGACAGATTTCAACGTTCTTCATATTCTCCATTGTGGAGTATAAAAAATAAGCAGAACTGACCAATAAGTGGTTTCCCTTTAGGTTTTCTAACTTCCACAAATGATATTAATGTTTAAGAGGAAGAAGAACTGAGGTTTGGAGCCTTCAAATTCTCACATTCTCTGCACATCCTTTTGACCCACTTATTTCCGCGCTGTTACGAAGTATTCTGCCTTAACGCTAACATCCACAAGCCTTTACTGGGTTTCTAGACCTGTGTTTCCTCAACTTTGTTTTTTCTGGGGACCCATATTTTAAAAGTCACAAACCTTCGCGACCCAAGTCAGTAAACATTCTTCGTAAACTCCTGGAAAACGTGATGCAATACGACCCCCCGAAAAAACAAACTCCTTGGAAAACGTGATGCAATACGACCCCCCCCAAAAAACAAACTCTTGCGACCTACCTGAGGATCGCGACCCAGACTTTGGGAAACAATGCTCTAGAACATCACTGTGGATGATTCTGACCAGTCGGTGGTATCTTTGCGTCCTAATGTCCAAAAATCATGTGATCTCTGCATAAACTGCGGATTAAAGGTGTGGAAGATTAGACGTTTAGGAGTCTTGTTCTAATTTAAACAAAAACAGACAACGGCTGGGTTTGGACATGCACAAACTGAGTTCTTCTGCATCTGCTGCCTCAACCATCGAGGTCTCTTCGTAACAAGAGCAGAGGAGAAAATAGGGAGTGCAGTTCTGTGATATTCACCACAGGGGCAGTAGAGAGGCAGAGAGCAGGTAGATGAAGGCAGCAGTCGGAATCCTTGATTTAGAGCCTTGATGAAGTGTGGGAGGATACAGTAGGTTCAGAGGTTGGATCAACATTCCAGTGGAGGATGGAAGCTGCGTCTGCAGTCCACGGCTTTGGGACTTGGAGGCTGAACTCGCTTCTTTCTCAGCTCGTCTTGACCCAGACTGCTGCTGAGCCGCGTGTACGCTGCTTTGTACTTCTTATCGAACGCAGCTGCGGAGACAGTGGAGAGGTGAAAAAAAATAATCATTTCAAGGTAATTACATTTCTTTCTGAACCTGTGACCAATCTCTGATAAATTGCCAGTGAGAAATAGAAATAATATCGATGGCCAGCAGGGGGCGCACACAGTGCTGTAAGTAAAAACTTAATTTTTAAGATGCGATTGCTAATCATTTCACATCATTAATGCCAAACACTTTATACCATCATGTTAATGTTAATATTTCCTTTTTTTTAAATAAAAATCTCCATGATTGTGTTTAAGTCTCACCAATGTGATCCTTGCCCATGGCTGCCATAGTGAGGAAGAGAAACTCTCTGTACAAACTCCTGAGAAAAAAAACAAACAAAAACAAAAACAGCTGCAATCACAAACTTGACTGATGTCATTCTTCGTGTTTCCGTATATTCTCTCTTTTCGTATTCGGAATCAACACTTCTGTGAGCGTTTAATTAATTACCATTTCTATTGTTGTTTTTAGTTAGCTACAGCTAAATGCTAGCGACAGTTAGTGCCGATAACTATTTGCATATCTGCTGCAATTCTAAAGCTTGCAGCATGTCGATTCCTGAGTTCCTAAAACGCTCCGTTGCAGTTTTCTCTCTGTGACCTTCACCTCTGTATCCGTGGCGACCCCGGCTGTTTGGCCAGAGTTTCCAGGAAAAGCGTGACGGCCCTGTGCACCTCGTTCATCCCAACCCAACGCAGCACCTCCTCCAGGAAAGAGAGCGTAAATGGGTGGTTGTGCCTCCGCCAGCTGTAGTTCCTCATCGGGATGCCACCTAGTGGATCTTAGTATTAGTCTTCGTATAGAATTCTCTAGACGTTTTTACGGTTCTGTTAAAAAACTTGAATGTCTCTGGTGTTCGCTGTCGTTTCTTACTGTGGATCCTCCAGACTATATAGAGGGGGGGCCACTGGTCGGTATCGGGGGACAGGGTGTCCCACAGCATTCGGACTCTCACTGCTGGGTTTTCTGACTTTAAAGGACAGAAATGTTACGTTATAATTATTGCACATATTTTCTCAAACCAACACACTTTGTAAATGATGAATGAGGGGTAAAATAATATTAACTGAAAATGTCAGTCAATAAAAGTTCTCAAACCAACACACTTTGTAAATGATAAATGAGTGGTAAAATAATATTAACTGTAAAATGTCAGATATCAGTCAATAAAAGCGTCGGAAGTTTGACGTCGTCATCTCACATATATGGATTAAAAAGTCTTGTTACGCCATTACGACGTATGGCGTTATGACGTCGTCATCTCACATATATGGATTTTGTATGTCTTGTTATGCCATTACGACGTACGGCGTTAAAAAAAAAAAAAAAATCGCATTGGAAGTTGGTGAGTGGAGTGGACAAATATGTCAACACACAAGGCATTGGAAGTTGGTGAGTGGAGTGGACCAATATGTGAACACACAAAACTAACTTTCTTTGGTTTGCGTTGTTTTTTTTTTTTGCGAACGTTTTGCGCTTCATTATGGGTCCAGAGCATAAGTCAGCCGTAAGAACCGAACTCCTTAGTTATTTTTTTTTTTTTGCGAACATTTTGCGCTTCATTATGGGCCCAGAGCATAAGCCAGGGACGTTTGAGATCAAATGCCTTTGAAATAAAAGGGGGGGTGTATCTGGTCATAAAGTCACCTGTGTAAATTGGCTGACCAGGGGTGAAGTCTGCACCAGCTGCAGCAGGTTACTGGGAAGGCCCAGTCGTTGGAAATACCAAACCAGGTTCCAGAAGATGATGGAGTGATTCTCCAGGAACTGAGACTGAGCCAGGACCGACTCGCCCTCATTCTCCAGCAGACTCTCCAGCTCCTTCCTCACCACCAGGGGGCTCAGGTAGGCAACTGTCACCTGTGGAACTCCGCCCACTGACGACCCCTGTGAGGAGGGAGAAGGTGTGAGGAAATAATTTTTTTTTTTGTCAACTTTCGTGAATGTATTTAGTTTAATTTTTAATTTAATTTTTAATTTAATTTTTTAAAATTTTAATATGTCAATTTTCATTGCAAAAATAGAGGCATGAGTGTCTGTTTTCTTTACTGTTGTCGTCCTGCTGTTCTCAGAGTAGCTGCTGGTCTCGGAGCTCGAGTCTTCACTTAGACCGTTACACTGTCGCACCGACGCCTCCTGAACACTGGGAGGTCTTACTGC